AGCTGCCTCACAAATCCTACCTGCTGGGAGCTGCCAGAGGAGCTCTGAAGAATCAAGGGATTCTCAAGAACTATGTCTAGAAGTGCTTCTGCATCAGGAAGACACAGGATCAACTTTATTAATGTTTATCTTGAGAAACACATCTATTCTTAGTATCCCAAGAACACTGGCAGCTTCTGCACAACCCTGAATCCTAAACAAGCCACAGTTGTTGTTTATCCAATTCTTTCTTCTAATAAAAAACCCACTTTTTTTCGAAGACAAGCAAGCAAGCAAACAAAAGAAAAACAAACAAACAAACAAAAAAAAACCCAACTCAATGTGAGAAATTTGGAAGTACATTTAAATAATGTTTTGGTTTTCATCTTTAATATTATTTGTGCTTCTCTCTTCTCATGAGAATCTTTGGTTTTTTACTTTTAGGAAGACTTTGTGAAAGTTTTTTTTTCTTAATCATCTGGATTTTTTTTCTTTCTGTTTTAACTTTTGTCCCAAGCTTTTATTTCTCAGCTGCTACAACCCCTAGCCTTTTTTTTCTGTTGTTCTTTTTTATCTTGAAAAACTCAGTATTTTTTCTTTCTCATTGTAATGGAATGTAAGGCTTTAACTTTAACATACTTATTTTCATGAATCATTTTAGTTGTAACTTTAATGATTTTGATCTTCTTATTTTTGTTATCATTTATTTCTAAATAGTTCATAGTTTACACCATATCTCTGCTTCAATGATCTGCTCTTAAGAGAGTGTGTATTAACTATGGTGAGACCTTTTTACACCTGTCCAAAGAGGTTTTTTATCAAAATGACAAAAGATAACATGCCCTGGTGAAAGTGTGGAACAAAAGGAACGTCTGCACAATTAGCAGGAAAAAAAAAAGTAATCCAGCCCATTATGGAAATTATATTCCACAAAAATAAAAAGCTAGAATTATCATCTGATCTAGCTATCTTACTTCTAGGTTATTTGTCCTGAGTATTGGAACCAACATGCTCAAAAGATGGTTGCACTTTCATGTTTTATTGCAGTATTTCTAATACTATTATTGTATTACAAATAACTTGTTTGTAATATATTTACATATAGATGTATTGTTATGATTATAAACAACTTATTTATAATCAGCATTGTTTACAGTAGTTCATTATGTTAAGTGAAATAAGTCATGCACATACAAAGAAATAATGCATGTTTGCACTTGTATATGAAATCTTAAACAAGTGAATCCATAAACACAAAGATCAGGGATTAGTTAACAGAGGCCGGAGGGAATTGGGCTGATGAAGGTCAAATGCTTCAGGGTTTCAGTTAGACAAAAAGTAATATTAAAAACATTTTCAATGTCTAATGGACCAGGCCATTCTAAATTAAATTTCCTCTATAGAAAAATTGCTATTCAATAGACATTAGTTTGAAAAAAATATGGCTTTTAGATTTAAATAATAACCATTTGAAAATAGTAGAGACTTCTTAAATGTGATGGTGAGTTAGATTGTCAACTTGACACGATCTTGAGTCACCTGGAAAGGGAGTCTTAATGAGAGATAGTTTCAATCATATTGGTCTGTAGGAATTCTGTGAGTGAGGGATTATCTGGATTCCATTAATAGAGGGGGGAACCTGTCCACTGTGGGTGGTATCATTCCCTAGTCAGAAGATCCTGCACTGTGTGAGTGGAGAAGGCAGACAGGCTGAGTGACAGCACACAACATGCATTTGTTCTTTCTCTGATCTTGGTTATGGATGTGACTAGCTGCTTCAAGCTTCTTGCCTTCCCTATCATGATAGGCCATAACCTAGAACCAAGCTAAAATAAACCTGTTTCCCCCAAAGTTTCTTATTGTCAAGATATATTACCACAGCAGCAGATATAAAATTAAGGTACCAAGGAAATCGGCTTGGTTAATTATTATCTTATAAACATGTTGGATGTGTTTGAAAAGCCTTGGTGCATTACTTTTTTTGAAAAGTGAACAAATGTCATTTCCTCCCAGGTATGGCACCAAGGACATACCAAAGAGACATTCTACCGAAGTTTAACACAGTGAACCAATATGTCTGTTGAAGTTGCTTATAGGAGCATGGGTGAGAGGTTACTTAGAGGAGGGAACAGGTGACTCAGAGACCAAGTAACATAGTTTGTTAATTGTATTGTACAAAGAGGTGATGTAAAAATAGTTAAGAATACAGGCTTTGGAAATTATTTTATAGGCTTTTAATATTTATTTTATACTTAGCTGGGTATATAAATGTGGATATAACTGGCCTCCCTTGTCCATTGAATGTATGTATATTCTGATGGTATCTCCTCATAGAATATTTTTTAGGTTCAAATTACTAGTAAAGTACTCAGAACAGTGCTTAGAACATACTAAAGGTGCATAATATTAAATTACTTTTCTTAATCCGTATTTGTCTTTACTTTTATTTTCTTAACCCATCAGTTTGTGGTAGAGATACATTTAATCCATTTACTATAATATGCATTTCAATTGGTGTTTTGGTCCACCTTTATGAACTGTGTTTAAAGCTGTAATGTATAAATATAATTATAGTACTTAGTATATACTCATTTTATTATCTATCTAATATCATCTAAACCTGGGCCTCTTCTTAATCTGCATGGATATAGAAATTCATGTCCTGTACCACAAGCAACATTCTCTGTAACCTGCTTAGGAAGCTGCTCAGTACAGCTCAAGGATGCCTATATTCCATGACATCCCTTGGCCAGGGCGTGTCTAGTATCCCACAGCATTCCTGGCCAGGGGTGTATCTGGAAGGTTGTCTTTCACTTGCTCTCTACTGCAGCATGCTGCTGACTCTCAGGATGTAGTGCTAAGGTAAGACTCAAGGACAGTTTAGCTGCTGTGAGACCAATGTGAGCTACTGGGATATTCCTATAGGAGGTCAGGAGACCTAGATGAAAAGCCTCAAATATTGACTCATTAGCCATCTGAGGAGCTCCAACTTTTCCAAAATGTACACCTGGAGTTTAGATGTGGGCTGAAGAGTTTGGAAGCCAGGCATACCTGATGAGATCAGAGGGTATGGAGAATCCTCAGGGATGGGGTTTCTGAAACCAGTGGAGCTCCAGGGAGAAGATGTGACTGAAGGGATTTCTCACGTGGGGAGCAAAGGGAATCCAAAATTCTTCAAAGCCCAACAGTCTTAGAGAGCAAGGGCTTTTCTAAAGTATTGCACAGGATGGGCATAACATTCTCATACAAAATCATCAAGGTAATGTTATTGAGTTGAGGTGGCAAAGCCTGGAGAGAATCTACCAGTCAAAGACATCACATGATCACCTTGGTGAAATTCTAGAAGCAGATAGTGTTATTAAAGAATGCAGCCAGTTTAACTTCTGTCCAGTCCCCTTTACACATGCATTCTTCAGTCAGATTGACTGACTTCAAGACTCTATCACACCCCTAGCCTTCCTTAGGGCTCCAGGGAGAAGTGTAGGTCAAGAAAAGACCCAGCTTTAAGCCAGAAGAAGCCAGATCTGGGGTTGTTCTCCCCAAGTAGCAAGACTGTGGGCAACTTACTGTCCTCCTCTCTCTGGATGTGTCCATCTGTCTCAATTTTACCACCTAGACAAAAAGATAAAGGGAGGGGTACTCACAGCATTCTATTCTGTAACTTGTTACAAGGTTTAAGAGAAATGAAATACTGACAGCATGTGGCTAATAACTATCAGTTCTTTCTACCCCTTTCTTCTTTATCTCTCCTCTTTATCACTTCTTTAAATGTTCAAGGCCAGCTGCTTTCAATATACGCACACACACACACACACACACACACACACACACACACACACCAGATTTTGTTCTTTTAATTTCCAAGTCACACATTGAGTAGGTCCAATTCTAAGTCTGCTACCATTTTCTACTTGTCATCACCATTCTCTTAACTTCTGCAATTAAGCTTTCTCCTTGGTCTCTGTCAGTTTTTCTCCAATTGACATAATAGTCATGGCTATCTAAAAATATTATCTATAAACTATGAACTTTCAACAGTTTTCCATAAATTTTGAGTTCACACAAATTCTTCCGATGAGGAATTCCATGTGACCCGCCCCCTCAATACCTTTCCATGCTCTCTCTTTCTTTCCTGCCTTCTAGTTTTCTTCCAAATGCTGTGTTAAATGCACTCATTCTTGCTACAATATCTTTGCACTTGGTCTTATTCTTTTTCCTAAGAGTGCTTCCAGGTTTCAGCACAAATGCTCAAAACTAAAAAAAAAAATCTCTTATCCACTTATCTGAAGTTGCCTATTCTACTTCTAAATTGTTCTTTACTAGTTTACTTACTTATTTTAATGTATTAAAACATTATAATTATTTAATTGATTACCATATATGTTTAAATCTGTATGTCTGATTGTTATTTTCTTTCTCTATACAGTATAAATTTCATCTCTCTTGATCACTTTCAATAGTTTCTGACACATGGACAAATGCCAAAATATATTTACTTAGTGCATGGATGAATAAATGAATAAATACTTTTATTTTGGAGGTCTTTTCAGAGTACTTCAATTTCCCCTCTTTGGAATATCCACCCTATTTGGAATGCATTTCTTTAAGTATTATTTTATTCCTGGAATTGTTTTTTTTTAATATACATTCTTATGTATACTCTACTAGACTGTGGGATACCAGGGAATAGAATTAGAGAATAAATGTTCATTAAATATTTGTTGAACTCATGGGTCAATCACACATGATAAAATTTTCCTTCTCTATTAGAATATAGGTAAAAGAGACCATGCTAAGAACAGCTATACCTTGGCTCACTGCCATGTCTCCATATGTATTGACAGTTGTAGAATTTGGATTGAGCTCTGCCTTTTGAAGCGTAGAGAAGGTCTCTAAGACTGTCCTCAGTCTCTTATTGTAAAATGAATTCATTCTATTCTCTTAGACATAGCACCTCAAGGAACCACCTGGTAATAACTTTGAGTAGGCTACATTAAGGGTGGTGAGCTTTTGAAGCCACATTACATTTTTTCCACATTTTATTACATTTTTTCCACATTCTATGCCATTCACGATTCAGTAGCTTTTCTATTATCTTGCAACAATTCATTTTTCTTTATCCTTTTCCTCTGTCTTTTGTTTCTCTTTGTCTTCCCCCACTTCACTTCCTCTTTGTCTTCTCTCCTTTTGTGCCTATATTTGCTCATCAGCTTTGTTTCATTTTTTTCTTTAAAAAGTCAATTTTCACATCAAATCTATTAAGTGACTATATTCTCTGTCTTCTTCTCATCCCCAGCCTAGCACTATGGACAGAACCCAGGCACTTGCTCATGGTAGCCAAAGACTCTAGCACTACCAGAGTGACATCTTCATCCCATTTTGTAGATATTTAGAGAAACTCAATAGCAGATCCACAATCTCTGCAAGTGGTGGAGTTGGTAATCATATCTGCTTCATTCTTCTCTCAAAGTCATAATTCCAGACACTCCTTGCAGTGTTGCTTGAAGCTGTTTTAGGAAGAACAGAAGCCATTGTGATAGGTCTAGTTACTGATTTAACAGAAGGTCCTTTTGAATGCATTGTATGTACATTTAAGGAGACTTACTAGAAACAATAGACTCTATTGTTTAAGCAACTTTTCTTCCAGGTCAAGACAATAGCACTTTTAAGGTGAACAGCAAACATGGAACACTACATTTTTATTTAAAATATGTATCACTTTTACCTAAATTTAAATTGTTAATCTATGCTTGTGAAAGCATGAATTATGATTTATTCATCTTTATGTATCTAGTCTTTATGCTAGTATATGGAAACTGTAGGACCAGTGAATATCTTTTTTTTTAAAATCTAAATTAGAAACAAGCTTGCTTCACATGTCAATGCCAGCTCCCTTTCCCTCCCCTCCTTCCCTGCCCTCCCCCATCCCCCATTTCCCTCAGTCCCCCACCCAATCCACACTCCACTTCCCAGGAAGGGTGAGGCACTGAACTCATGTCCTCTGCAAGAGCAATAAATAAATACTCTTAACTACTGAGATACTTCTCCAGCCCCATGATTTATGTTTTTTCTTTAGAGCTACTTCATTTATAGGCAGAGCTATTTTTGAGTACTATATTGCTGACTTCCTTTCTTATAGGTGAGGATAGGATGTAGACTACATTTTCAGAAACATTTTTCTTTTCAAATGGTAAGCCATAGTAGAATATTTATTATGTCCTCCTTAGGTACACAATTGTACAAACTGCCCTAAAAACAAGTCCAGATGTCCAGTGAGTATAAGAATCATGTATTTTAGTCTAAAAGTCAACATCAGGTTATAGAGAAGGTTTTTTTTTTTTTTGGTTTTTCGAGACAGGGTTTCTCTGTGGTTTTGGAGACTGTCCTGGAACTCTCTCTGTAGACCAGGCTGGCCTTGAACTCACAGAGATCCACCTGCCTCTGCCTCCTGAGTGCTGGGATTAAAGGAGTGCGCCACCACTGCCCAGCATAGAGAAGGTATTTTAACAGTTCATTCAACAAAACATCTTCAAGGGCAATGCACAAAGCAACTCAATAGAAGAAGGGAAAGGTTGGGGATCCTCTAGAGCAATGGAGGCCTTGACCGAGAGTGTGAGCAGAGGAACCAGGGGGTGGGCTGGTAAAGGCGCAGCACCCATTCTTCAAATGGAAGAATAGAGCCATTGAAATATTTCACTTATTCTTCTGTGCACGTATATATTTATTATCTTTTATATGCCTTAAATTGTACTTGCTGGACAGAATACAGCAATTAATGATACAGACGATTTTATCCCATATAGGGTTCATAATCTGTTAAGAAGATAGCAGTAGCATTACTGACATTTGTTTAACACTAATAGTAATAATTGCTATGGGGAATCTAGGTCCAATGGCTTATGGTCATTGATACATGGTTGTATCAGGAATGCCTCTTAGGGCTTCACATGCATTATCACATTTGAACCTCATAATTACTCTCTAGAGTTATGTTATTTCTGTGAAAAATGGAGGCCTACAAAAGTGAACTTTAATTGCCCAGGAAGTATTTCACAACTAGTAATGTAGGTCTAATATGTGAAACCAGTTTTTATTTGTAGAATCTGTGCTTGTAATCATGCTCTCCATATCCTTAACTGCCTATTATTGTCTCCAGTCTTAAGCAGAAAGTGGTTTTGGGTCTAGTACAAGTAGCCAAGAAGAGGTTTCCTAAGTAGGGATTTCTCATAAGACCTAGGTGAAGGAACACAAAAAGTCTGTCTGGGTGGCTGTTAAGGATTGGGCATGGGACAGAGCTAACATGTTCATGAATCAGAGGTGCAAGACAAATGATTAAATTGGAGGGCAGTCAGGCATTCGAAGAGGAATGGTTGACTTGCTAATGAGTAGTTTCTACTGGGACCCAAAGGAGGTGTGCTAAAGATGCTTAGATTCGGAATCTTATTACTAGTCAATAAGATCCGGTGTGCCCAGCTGCCTTTCCTGGTCATGTTCTTCTTTTAAAAAATGGCAACTGCTTCGTCTATAGGCAGTTAAACCATTTTGGTGATATGGGAGGTAGAAACATTAAAGAACACAGAATCTGGGAATAATTCATTTTCGACTTCTGGAGGTAATTTTAAAATGAATGTTTCTTACTTTGTTACTACTAATCACGTGGTGTAATTCATTTCAGAAAAACACTAAAAACTGCTTTGGTGTGAGAGAAAGGATAATGCTAATTAAGAAATCATGTCTGAAATTGCTATTCATTTTTAAAATCGACGGTGTTCCCTGGCCTGTTGCTGCATCTAAACGCAGCTGCAACAGGCATTCCAGCTTTACTGCTGGTAAGTGTCCAGAGTTTTCATGTAGTTTCTGCAATTTGCACACTGGCAGATAAAAAGGAGAGGAATATTTCAGAACAATGATTTCCTTTGTTTCTAGGGAAGGCTTTTCACTCCACCCTACGTTGTAGTTCTGCTGGGAAGGAATAACTGACATTATTATTAGTTTTCAAAGGGGGATACTTGTAGAATTTTAAGCTGGAGCTTCCTGACCTTTGTGGCGGGGGGGTTGGGAGAGTTATGAACTGTAACCACTTGTATTGATGAAGCTGGAGCTTCATCCACAAACGGATTTTCAGAAGTTTTGTTGGACTTTCACTCATGGGTGCCAGCGTGTGACTGATGCACATCCACTGGCTCCAACAGCTTGAATAAGGCTGCACACTTTTCTTGGGTAAAGATGTAAGTGAAGTGGATGAAATTGGTGTTTGTGTTATTTTTGGCTAACCCCCAAAGTATAGCTCTGATAGTTGTGCTTTCTAATAAACAGGAAAGATGGGGAAATATGCAAGTATTGACAGGCTTTTCAGAGAAGGAAGCTGTGTCCTTCTGAGTGATGAAGGCCTGGTAAAGAGGGTAACAAGACAGGCTAGATCAGTGGCTCTCAACCTGTGGGTTGATGACCCTTTCACCGAGGTCGTCAAAGAACATTCTGCATATCAGATATTTACATTATAATTCATAACAGCCAAAAATTACAGCTATGTGTAGCACCGAAAATAATTTTATGGTTGTGTTCACCACAACACGAAGAACTATATTAAAGGGTCCCAACATTAGGAAGGTTGAGAACCACTGGCCTAGATTGACTTCAGCAATATTGACCGCAAGCATAAGCTATATCATCAATGGATCCATTTAACACTCGCTGCGATAGCAGATGTACCACTTTAGCAGCTTGAGTCGAAGGCTTTTAGTGTGAAAGAGATCCCAGTGTTGGTTAAGATCAAAGGGTGATCCCAGGCATTTCAACACTAAAGATACTTCACAAATGTTTGCAGTTTGTAAAATACCTTTTAAAAAACATGTTCTTGTCTAATCCTCTCTTGTCGTCCTCAAATCACAGAAGTGCCTTCCTTGACTAGCTTCATTTCCTTTCATTTATACTCCTAGGGTTCAGAGGTCAGGAAACAGGCTTACAGATGGTGGAAGAATAGAGATTTATGCTGTGGGTGGGATTGCTGGGAAACTCAGCACTGGTTCGAAGTGTACTTAGGCCCCCAAATTAGAGGACACTAATATGTTGGTCATGCTTGCCTTTTTGCAGCAAAATATGAGGGATTCTCAGAGGCCTTTGATGATGCTGAAGCAGACACTTGAGACAGGCTCCTGAGCTTTAGGTGTCAGGATATTCCACAGGTAAAGTTGGTGGCTAAGAGCTTCAGAAAGTACCGAGAAACACAGTCTGACTCCAAACATGAGGCTTCAGTGGCAGAAAAGATATGGAGGATCAAAATAATCAAGTTAAAGGGAGAGACTTAAATGCGCTTCCCCTATAATGAGATTGATAACTAAATTATATGCCGTCCTAGAGCCTTCATCCAGTAGCTGATGGAAGCAGAGGCAGACACCCACAGCTAAACACTGAGCTGAACTCCTGGAATCCAGTTGCAGAGCAGGAGGAGTGATGAGCAAAGGGGTCAAGACCAGGGTGGAGAAACCCATAAAAACAGCTGACCTGAACAAGGTGGAGCTCATGGACCCCAGACTGATGGCTGAGAGGCCAGTATGAGACTTATCCAGACCCCCTGAACATAGGTGTCTGTTAAGAGGCCTGAGCAGTCTATGGGGCCTTGGGTAGTAGATCAGTGTTTATCCCTGGCATACAAATGGACTTTGGGAGCCTATTCCACATTGAGGGATGCTCTCTCAGCCTGGACACATGGAGGAGAGCCTAGGCCCTGCCCTGGATGAAATGACAGACTCTGGAGATCTCCCATGGAGGGCCTCACTCTCCCTGGGGAGCAGAGTAAAGATGATGCTTTTAAAGCCACATGTTGGTATAAAATTATTATTCAAGGCCATCTTTGGAAATGGTTGTCCACCATCTTGATCTATATTAATATTACTGTGGTCTTCATGTTTATAACACAGACTTTCTTCTTCCTCTCTTTTCTGCTTCCTGACTGATGGGTCTAATGTTAACATGAAAGTATTTAGTAAAAAATCTCATCCTGTGATATGAGTTCCCCACACTGGTCTCCTACCACTCACTTACAGAAGTGCCACAATACTTACCGCTGACAGCCTCCAACAATCTGGCCATGTGTGAAACACATAAATGAGGATTCAAATTATGTCTGATTAAAGTCAGCATAAATTGTAAGTAATTTAATATAAGGGAATTTGATTATGACATCAGGTCTAATGAGAACAGATTGTAAAGAAATAATCTACAAAATAAAGAGAGTGATGATAGAGCAGGAGAGATTGGCCAATGTATACTCCGCTGGAGTATCTTAAGCATAAGAGATGGGGAGAGGGAAACTGATGATGATGATGATGATGATGATGATGATAATAGATATCACCAAGTGCTTTTAAATAGTAGACACTACTTGAAGAATTCCACAACTTCTATTTCATTTCATGTCAACTATGATGGTTAGTATTGATTGCCAACTTGGCAGATCTAGAATCACCCAGGAATCTTACCTCTGGGAACATCTGTGAGGAAGTTTCTGTGTTGGATTCACTGAGGTAGGAAGTCTCATCCTAAATAGAGGCAGCATCACCCAATGGATGGTGATCCCTGAAAATAGAAAGGGGGCAGGAAATGATAGCAGTCATTCACTTGCTGACTTTGGACAAAATGTGATCATTTGGCTCCTGCTGTTGTCATCATAACTTCCCCACCATGATGGACTGTACCTTGGAACTGTGAGTCAAATAAACTCTTAAGTTGCTTAGTCAGTTTTGTCTCAGCAGTGAGTAAAGTAACTAATGCATCAACATACCCTTTGAAGAAAGTCCTACCATTTTCCTAGTGAATGAGCAGCTAATTTGAGCCACCAGGATGAGGAAACAGAGGCAGAAAGTGAGGAGATGGCAGTCTACGTTCACACTTGTAGCAGGTGGATTATTAGTTGGGAGCTCAGGAGTGTGACTTGAGAGCCTCCTTTAGTCGTGATGTAGTTAGTAGAACATGCCTGAACGCCACCATTTACACCAAGTTACAACTCATTAGGAGCAAAATTTATCAGGCTCTACTTAAGTCTTGGGGAGGTGCCCTGCAGTCTGCATTAAAATCTCTCCAAATAATTGTGATTCTATAGTCCTAGTCACAATAATGCTGCAGCTGTCCATTTCCTGTTCTTCCTGTTACTCTGTGGCCCCTGATAAAAAGTGCCTGCTCTTTCTGTGGCTTGGATGTTTCACCTGCTCCTGGCATTTTCTGCACCCATATTCTTCCTCCAGCAACATGAGTGGTTTGTACTATGTTTGTTAGTTGCCATGTAGACAAGCACCGGACACCTGCCATGTTTTGCTATAGCGACTTGTTAAATCAAGGCAAGTTTTGGAAATACAAGGGGCTAGCATTCTCAGGCCAGTCTTACTGCCACACATGCCTAAAGAATCTGGGCTCAGGATATATAGATATATCAAAAGCAGCAGAAAGCAAAAGCCCAGTGAAAATCAGAAACCATTGGGCCAAAACCTCAGAGTAAAATAAGGAATCAGAAAGGTTGGAGGTACATACTGAGACCACTTGTCAGATACTCAGGTTGCAGAACCTGGTTACCTTGGCCAAGGGCCCACTCGGAGTCTAAGAGCTAAGAAGAGATGTTATCTCTGAGTAAAACTGGGGTACTAATGGCTACTGACTGATGTTAAGACAGAAGAAGTGCAGGTGACTCTTATTGCCTCCCATCCTCAGGGTACTGAGGAGAAGCCACGTTAGTAAGCTGGGTGTGGAGGCACACACCCACAATCGAAGCACTTAGGAGGTGGAGACAGGTGAATCAAAACTCTTCTTGGCTACACAGCTTGTACAAGGTCAGCCTGTGCTACGTGAGATCCTGTCTCGAAAACAAAAATTATTCTAGTGCTGAATAGAAGATGGCACAAAAATCATACCAAAAGAAATAAATTCTTGGGAACTTTTGCCCTGACCTCATGTGTGTTTGGCAGAGGCAAATGCTAATTCTAGGCCTCCAGTAACTTGTACAGATAAAATGGGATACTCAGAGTCTAATTTCATCAAGCACCAAGGAATTCTTGACTACCAAAGGAAGTTCACAAAAAGTCAAGGCTTCATAATTTTCATACTGATCATAAAACAAAATTTTCTCTTTAGAGAAATACAACAAGCTTAACACATTCTCAGGAGACAGAAAATCAAAATCTTGGTGATAGAAGATTAAATAGCATCTATAGTCATGCTATATTAATGATAGTCAATGCTATAGGAAAACAATATATTTATTTACCAGAGAGAGAGAGAGTCGCACAAACCAGGAGTTAGAAGCGTGGCTGGCTTCCAGGAGAAAAAGGGAGGTTCCTTTTCCTTTCACTTCCTTTTATATCTACCTGTGTCAGTTTACATGTCCCCGCCCTCATGGGCGGATAGCTTTGTGGGGTTCACTCCTACAATGCTGTCTCAAAGAAGCTTAACTAAGAGAGTAAAGATGAAAAACTTAGGCTAGAGAGGACAATCCTGGTTAGATTTTCCCTTCCATCTTTTTTATTCCCTAGCAGGGCTTCATTGGGTAACCCAGGCTGGCCTTGGGCTCTCAATTCTCCTGCCTTAGCCTCTTGAGTACTGGGATCACAAGCATTTGCTTCAGGTTTTGTTTTGTTTTCCATTTAAAATTTTTGGACAGTTTCATGCACATGTAGAATATATTGTGTTCATAGTCAACTTACCCCATTATCTTCTCCTCCTATTCTTTCTGACGCCCCATTTCCCAACTATTCAGCCTTCTACACTCATGCCCTGTGTGTGTGTGTGTGTGTAGGTTGACATAGCTGCTGTGTGTTCATGATTGTATCAGTCTTGAAAGGTGACATAGCTGTCACATTTAGAGCTGAACTTCAGTCACTTACATTCAGCAGTTTATCCAGTGTGTGACTTTCTATATTAACCATTAACCACTGTAAATAGAAACTTCTTCAATCCAGGAGAGAACAACATTAGTCTATGGGTATAAATATTTAACAACACATCAGTAGCACCTTCTCCACTAGGACTTGTGACCTTCTCAACTATAAGCTTTTGACTAAGTTTACAGTACCAGGCATGTACTCTTTTCTCTAAAGCAGACCTCTCCCCCCAATTGGAAAGTGAGTGGCTACCCCCCTAAACAGTCTGGACACTATTGCATCAATGAGTATATCTTGTCTGTTAGATTGGTATTGTAGCATGAGGGGTTGGTAGTGGGGACGTCCCTTTGATGACATTTTCATCAACTTACATAGCGCCTTTTGGTAGCCAGCAGGGAGGAAGTGTTTAACTATGTTTCAGTGTGATTTCTACATATCCTATATCCAAAATATATGGTGTTTCAGGATCTTGTTCTATGGTTGTGATAGAGCAATGGCAATGGCATTTATTGTTTTGGGGGCCTCTGGAAGCATTTTGGCAGACAGCTCAGAGTACTTTGTACTGGGTCTTTCACATAAAAGCTTGTGGCTTCTGGGAGCCTCATTACCAACCCACGCAGGCTGTAATGTTCAATCATCAACTTTTTGGGTGAGATTTGGTCAGGTATAATTTATGAAGCTAACTTTAAATTTGTTGGACATAATGGCATGCACCCACAGTTCCAGTTACCCGGGAGGCAGGGATCTGAATTGAAGGATTACAATTTCAAGGATGACCTAGGTTATAGGGAGATCTTCTATCAATTTTAATAAATTACCAATTCAGAATTAGGATCAATTAACTATACATTCAAAATTGCCAATATATAAAGATAATTTCAAGTGCATTAGACATATGTTAATTTTGTCTTTCAGTTTCCATATCCACTTGAAATACAGATGTAAATAAACTAAGCAAAGGTCTTTGCTTTTGGTCTTTATGTCATGAACACTTGGATTTTGAAGGTGAATATTTTAGTTAAGTGTTGACAGTTTTCCATATTATTTACAAACTCTGATTAAGTGTTTGAAGGGTATAAATAACTTTGGGAAAATGCAAAGATAAGACAGTAGAAGCAATTTGGGAAATCTGCATGTGACACAACTGTCACACAACCCATGTCCCTCAGAAAATCACCTCAATTTTCTGAACTGGTAAAATTTTTAGCTGAGGCTGAGTATGTGGGAAGGATAGAGCCATTGTGTTCTGACTACGAGTAAAGGTATCTGCAGATGTTGGCTGTGTCATATCCAATTCATCCCTGGAGATGCTAATTATTCTTTAAGAATGTGGTAATGAGGTGAAACACACTACATGCCAGCAGGCATAATAGATCTTATTTCCTATCACTCATTTAAATCAGTGCATTAATTTTCATTACAAGATAAAGTCAGTGATAGAAGCAGAGGCAAACTATGGGGAAAGTAGAGTCTAGCAAGTACAGGCAGCAAGCCACACAATAGTTGGCTCTTGAAATGCTGATCTCATTAACTTGTAGCCAGACTTGCTGAAAGATGGCTATCAGAAGAAAAACAAAAATCCCCTCAATGGTGCAATATTCATGTTAATAGCCCTTAGCAAGGAAAAAACATACAGTTCAAGTCAAATGCCATAAAGGATAATTCCTTTGAATGCATCATTAAGCCAGAGGGAGGAGTTACAGTTTCCACTTTTTGAATTATTGTTCCTCAATATTCGTTTACTGAATACCCATCATGTCAAAGTAGAAAGGAAGAACAGACTTTGTTCAGAAAGCTTACAATTGGTATGACTCAGGGCCAGTGGCAGGGGCGGGGGTGGGGGGTGGGGAGGATCTCCTAGCTGGTGAAAGTTGGCCTCTTAGACATAACTACTTAATGTTTTCAAGCTTTGATTGCCACACTCTTTGTCCTTCTCTGCCTAGCTCAGCTGTTGGTTAGAATGTAGTCTGGAATACGTAAGTGAGTTTAGGGGAGATAGCCGATTTGTTCTCCAGGAAGACACATATGTAGAGGAACGGAGGAACTGGTTTAACCCAATGCTGTGAACCCTGAGATGGAAAAGAAGCTAGAAGGTAGAACTTGACCACTGACATTCCTCTCAGATCTTGAGAATTGGTGCTCAAGAGAGTGGTGGGATCAAGTGTTGCCTTCTTATGCCACATCTGCCACTTGAGTGAGTGAATAAAATAGGGAAACACTTAAGGAGTTTGCTCTGAAACTCACTGCCAGACACTGAACTGAAGGTGTTAGGAAATAAAGGAAGGTAGTCACATGTGCTCCAGTGACAGTGAGATGAGCTTACAGATTTTAATGGGGAGAAACAAGACAAAATAACCCCCTCCCCAAAACAAAACCACCACAGGCTTTATCATCAGAAAGAAATGGACTTGAGTGTTACTTCTGCCACCTTGAACACTGTAGGTCAAGTTCACATACAAAAAAGTTCACATTGGGAGATGGAGCAGGGGTAAAGTGCTTATTGTGGAAATGTGAGAACCTGAGTTCAGATCCCCAGAAGTCACATGAGAGCTGGGTGTCACATTGGAGTGAGTCTTGGAGAGTGGAGATAGGTGGATCTTGAGGGTTCACTGGTGGTCAGAATCACTAAATGGGTAAGATCAAGGTTCAGTGAGAGACCCTGCCCCCCCAAAAATGGAGATGGAGAACTGATTTACCATTGTCTTCTACATATGCAATCATGGGTGAGCACGGATGCACACACACACACACACACACACACACACACACACACACGAAAAGAGAGATAATTGCAAAGTGTTTGACATATAGTAGGGTATGATCTTAAAGTGATACTAGACACTTTTTTCTATATTATATGATGGTTGTATTAATGTTACTTTAAATACTTGATTATTGGGAAATTTGTACTCTTTTGATATTGTATCAGTTTCTCAGAGGAACAGAGCCAACAGGATATATGCAAAATTGAAGAGGGACATTGTTGGATTGACTTATGATTCCAGGGTGAATGCACACATCTGCCGACTAGAGTACTGGGCAAACCTGTAGCTAGTTCAAGAATCTGGATGCTTCAGAACAAGATGGACTAGTGATGCAGTCTCAGCCCAAGGTTGAACTGTGAAAACCCCATGGTAACTCTTCGTACAGATCTGCTTTAGGGACTAAAGAATCTTGAGTCTGATTTCTGTGGGCAATAGGATCAGGAAAAATAAAAAACAAAAAAAGTAGTGTGGTGTGAATTTGTGAGGTCCCTCTTCTTAGCTGTTCTGTGTGGGACCCCAGCCTATTGGACAGCAACACCTACACTTAGGTGGTTTTCCCTGCTGTTTGCTGATCTACATGCCAATCATTTTCAGAAAACATGGTTATTGACGGTTGGGGCCATTTTTTTTTCGGTGTCCTATAACACAGAAGTAAGTTTTAGCAGGTTTTATATCAAGGGTAATTTTAAAGAAAAATTACAAATTTGTTTCTAGCAGGCATCAAAATCGGTCATTGTCTTAGAGCACTGTGGAGAAGGCCCTGGAGGCTGATGTGGGGCTTGACAGGAGGTGAGTGGGGGAAGAACACGGCAAAAGTGGTAAATGGGGCTAGTGTTGCTTTCAACCAAAATGCGCTATTTACCTTTAAGTTTTAAATTTGACGAAATAGTAAAGAAAACAGCTCACAATATAGAGAAAACTCAGGGGACTACAGGAATGTTTTAAAAAAGGTTTTTATTTCATTTACTGAAAGACAGAGAGAAAGAGAAAGGGGGGAGAGGGAGGGGAAGTGAAGGGGAAGGAGGAGGAGGAGAGGAAGAGGGAGAGAGAGAGAGAGAGAGAGAGAGAGAGAGAGAGAGAACGAGTAGACCAGTTTTGCCTGGCAGACTGCCTGTGTGTGATGACAGCGTGGAGATATGCCTTATCCATTCTCAGAATTTATACTCTATATTTTCCCACCAGAATTCAACTTATTTCCACTGTGGAGAAATCATAGGTGGGAGGGACAATTATTCTACTCTAGTTGATTGACAGGAACCAAAAATAAAAGGCATAGTTAAGCATAGAACCTCATAAAGGTGATGTTTGTGCTCAGCATCACATGAATAAAGCACACAGCCCTGCCACACTCTGGCCAGGCCCTCTAACCTCCTGTTTCCTCTTTCTTGGTGCTTGTAGCAGGTTTTGCCATTATTGCTGAGAGCTGCTCCTGGACTGTTGCTGGCAAACAAGGCTAAATAGAAACCCAGAGGGCAGAGAGCACAGGGCTGTACAATGACACCCAAGTACAAATATTGTGGTGGAAATGAGATTTAGTAACATGGCTGAGGCACTAACTTTGCCTGTAATATTAAAGGACTGACTTACGTGTTCTTAAAACAAAGAGGTCCCAGGAACTAGAACATTCTAGAATACCGACTTCCTTGTACCATAGACAATAAAAATAG